TATATATATATATATATATATATATATATATATATGCATGGATGCATATATACATGACTAGATATAAATCTACATGCATTAATATAAATAAATAAGCATATCATCATCACCACTGCTTTACTGATCAGTTTATTTGTCTAAGGAGAGTTCTTTTAGCAGCAATATTCTAATTTTTTGAAAAGGAAGGTTCTTTATTTTAGTAACGAAAAAATAATGAAGAGGCTTTTGTTAAATTTTGGAAAAAAAATTGAAGTGGGACATAAATTGGAAAGTGGAAAAACGTGGAAAATTTTTTAGGCGAAATGATAGTAAAGGAGGGGGAGGAGTAGGAGGGGGAGGAGGGACAGATAGCGGCAAAATTTTTATTGCATGGGATGCCACGTGATTCGTTGGGACGAACGTAATCAAACGAACGACGCTTAAAATTTTTTGAACTTTTTGTTCTTAAGATTATTCACTTATTTAGAAGATGTTGCTAATAACGATGATTTGTTGGGGTGAAGGAAATGTAATGTGAATTTGCTGAGCGACAACTTTTTTCGTTGAACGTTTCTCGAAAAAAGTCTTTGTAAAAGTTTTATTTGCATTTCAGGTTTTAGCTTTTATGTTGCCTTTGGAATGCTTACATAATGTCCTGCTTTCGGTAATTGAAAGACTGTTATTGTAAAATGTGCTAAGAATGTCTGAAAATGACTACCGAAGTATCATTCTTTACGCGAAAAAAGACTGGAATCTTACTTACGATGCTCAAGGCAACCTTTCAGACGAGGTAATTAAATTTTTTTGGCATAGAAAGGAAACTGAAGGTAAGCGGAATAAAGGCAAATCTGGTTTACCGTACTTTTTTCTTGTTTATAGTTTGTTAAATTTCCTTTTTTTTTTACTTATGAGGAAAGAGTAGTCAATGGGACAAGTTTTCATAGTATTTTGCCTAATAACACTGCAGACAAAGTTTTGTATCGTTTTTTTTTGCTTCCATAAAATGCTTCGTAATTAAGAATCAAAAATTTGAACATAATTTCTGTTGGTTTTAAGTGTAAAATTTGAAGAAGAAGAAAAGAAGTAAAGTGGGAAAGTGAAAATTTAGGAATTTCTTTAACCAATTCTTCTCTTGTTTAGTGAATTAATGGCTAGTAGCAGACGCTGGAAAGGCTTTTTTGTTTAACAATGTTTAAGCATGAACTTAGCTAGTTTTATGGTCTTGGGATGAATATACGTAGCTTCAGCTTAGAAACTATAACAGAAAATATAACAGAATCGAAAATGTAAGTTTTTGAAGGGTTGAAGAGAATGCTGTGCACAGTCACAACAGTGTGATGAAAATGAAATAAACCAATGTTTTTAAGGAAGAGTCTGGAATAAGCAAGTTGAGGTTTTCAGGATATCGCATATGCGCTTATCGGCCAGATGGAACAGTTGATGGCCGATCAACCAGTTGTTTATGTAGCCACCGTAATTAATATAACGATATTGATGATTGCAGTATTAATCGGGATTCCGGCTAATATATATGTTCTTGTTCGGATGACAAAACTTGCCAGGTTTGTCATTTTTTGCTTGCACTAAAATCGTCTTTAACTTTGCCAATAGTCGCTGCCTTTGGACTGCCGTGACGCTGCCGCAGTCATGTTATCTATTTTCTTCTGTTACAACTTATTCTTCTTTTTTTCACCTTTTTTCCTTTTTATAATAGATAAAAATTTTTTCCCTTACTTCTTCTATCTCCCAGCTTCTTTCATGTATTTCTTTTTTAAATGCCGGCATGGTAGTTATGAAAATGAAGATGGAGATGATGATGATTATAATAATGTTGTTGTTGGTGAGACGACAAAAATTTCTTCAATTTTTTTTATTCGTCATAATGAATGTATCATTTGCAATTTGATTACGAATTACGATCAAAAAAAAAAGGAACTTTGCCGATGCAATTTTGCACTTGAATTTGCTGCCAAAGCACTAATGATCGCTAAAGCCTAAAATGACGGAAAGGAACCATTGGACAGAGTCTTTTATTTTCAAAAAAAAAAAGACTCATATATATAAATAAATATATAGCCTACTTTTCTTTTTTATACAGCCTATTTAATTAGTATAACATCTATATTTTTTACTTCATCAGTGTTTGAAATTGTCGAGGAGTTGCATTTTTTATACTGTGAAAAAAAAAGAAGAGGGAAAAAACAACCAAAAATGTATATGTAAATGAAAAGTTCAATTAAACTGTCTACCGTTTTTTTCAAGAAGAAAATCAAGTGCTATAAATTGTTTTTACTAGCAACTAGTATAAGTTAAAACTAAGGTTTTTTAAGCTAAATATTTGTCTGTTTCTCTTCTTTTTTTTTTTATTGGTTTACCCCATTTTATTTCAAAAAAAAAAAATTTTTTTTTTTAAATAAAAGTATTCGACATAAAAAAAACTGTTAAATTAAATTATTACTTAAAGTCTCATTATTTGAGGCTGTATTGTCGCAGTTTTATGTTTCTTATTTTGGTGTTTTAAAAGTCTAAAAATTGTCTGTTCAAAAAAAAGTTTTTATTGAGTTAAGTACGTTTGCAAAAACATAAAAGGTTTAACAAAGACAACAGCGGCATAAAATTTTTACATCGTTTTGCTGGTTTGTAAAACAAGAAAATTTTCTGAGACTTTTTTTGCTTC